TTTAGGAAGACCCTTCCTAAACTACTAATTTATGAAGGATTCTCATTGATTTAGGAAGACATTTCGAAATATGAAGGAAACCATCCTAAACTACTAATTTAGGAAGGATTCTCACTTATTTAGGAAGATCTTTCGAAATATTTAGGAAGACCTTCCTAAATATGAAGGAAACCTTCATAAATTACAAATTTAGGAAGGAAACTCACGTATTTAGGAAGACATTCATAAATATGAAGGAAACCTTCCTAAAAACCAAATTTAGGAGGGATTCTCACTTATTTAGGAAGGTCTTTCTAAATATGAAGGAAACCTTCCTAAACAACAAATTTAAGAAGGGTTCTCACGTATTTAGGAAGGTATTCCGAAATATGAAGAAAAACTTCCTAAACTAAAAATTTAGGAAAGATTCTCACGTATTTAGGAAAGTTTTCCGAAATATGAATAAAATCTTCCTAAACTAAAAATTTAGGAAGTATTCTCACTTATTTAGGAAAGCCTTCCTAAATATAAAATTTTTTTTCCTAAACTATAAATTTATGAAGGATTCTCACGTATTAAGTAAGAAGAAATCAGAACCTAGTCATCAGAAATTTGATTTAAAATCTTGATGTAGTATTCTTTCTCAGTCTCGACATTTGTACAAGCAGATTCAGGTGAAATCAATACAAACAAAAGCAACCCTAAGACTTCAGATTATCGGAGAGATAGAGAGACAAAATCCGTCGATGATTCCAGCAACGATTCCAATTTCAACGATGAGGAATTCGAAGGTAAAACGGAAGATATGGGATATAAAGGATAGAGGATACATGGATTTATGGCGATGAGGAACTTCTTCCGGCGTTGAGCAGGCAATTTTCTCAACTTTTTTGTTTGATTTTTTTTTATCTATTATAAAATTAAAAAAAAAAGAATTATTTTAGTCTTTTAGTTATAAAACTGTGATATGAATGGAACATTTCAAAATGTGTGATATATTTGAAAACAAAACTCTATTTTGTGGTATATTCGAGAATTTCCCATTCTTAATTTCGGTTAGACTAGTATGGGCTTTGCTGACTCCTAGTTTAAAATGGAAACCTGAAAACAAAGTAAAACCGTTATACCTGAGTTTATAATCAACTGATTATTTGAACATTTGTTTTTAAACATTATATATATATTGTTGTATGTACCAAATTCATAAATATTTAAAGGACATTATAGAATGCTACAAAACAGAATAATGTGGTCCAAAAAGGATAAAGTATTATGTCTCTCGAGGTACACAGAACGAAGCATATGGTCTTTTGTCCATACCAAAGCACAGATAATTTCTTGTCTCC